GGCTGACGTTTCGGGCCTAGACCCTTTTCTGATGAAGGGTCTAGGCTCGAAACGTCAGCCTCTCTGCTCCTATGATGCTGCTTGGCCTGCTGTGTTCATCCAGCTCTGCACCTTGTTGTCTCTATTTCTCATTCTGCTACCTATGACTGTATTCAAGCATAAATATCTTAGCTTAAATCACGTGATTGCCAAACACAATATTTGCACCAATGACATTTGTAATATCCCTAGATTAATGTTGATTGATGTTCTTCTACTATCAACTTTATTAGTTACTCTGATCTATTATCAGCATTGCTTGATATCCTATTCTAATATATTTAACACAATTTCACCTTGAATTAATCAAACAATACCATCCGGTTAAAAAATGGAAATATTGTGGAACGTTCAAAGCAGTTCAATCTCCCCAGCCTACTGCAGCTCTTCACCAATGAGGGAATAAACAACATTATTTATGATTTAATCATTAGATTTACCCACTCAATTTTCTCATCCCACTCTGGAGGAGATCTATTTATTTCTCAGTTGTTTGTGCTGTTTATTCAGATCCCAAATGACCAGTTTCCTGCAACGCTGCATTGTCGACTTGCCATCAAAAAAATATTAAAACCTAAAGGTGGAAAAGCAGGTCCTATGTTCACAAGTGTGTTTTCCATACTATACTGCTACTAATTAAACAGGGTTGAAGCTGACTTTTTCAGGACTCTTTTTAATGTTATTTTATTCAGTTTGGGGATATGGACTTTGCTGGTTAGGCCAGTACTTATTGTCCATCCTTAATTGCCTTGAGAAGGAGGTGATGTAAAATAGCTAATTTAGCTGATACGGTATTCGGAACTTAATGTTATACTAATATTACATTGCTCAAGAGTTCTGAGACTCTCTGACACTCTATTAAATCAGAGATATTTGCCATCAGTGTCCTGACATCTTTCATAGAATAAATAATTCAATGATATGAATACTTACTTCCCAGTATTTACACATTTTAAATACAAAATGAACTTTGCAATCACACTTCAGAAGCATTGTATATTCACCTTACCAACCTACTGAATCACTCAATCTTTAAACATTTCATGTACCATATTCACTGTATTTTCGATTTCCATTTTTATCATATATCAGCACAGTCCAGAATAAATGAAGAGTGCAAATAAAAACATGTTTAAAACATTGTATACCCACCTGGTGCTAGACAAGCAATAATGAAATATGGAGGTGACTTGTTTCATTTATCCACAGAAACAAGTTTGTGTTTTCTGTGGAAATGGAGCAGAAAATGTTAGCAATGTGAAGCAGGTCGGTATCTGAAAAGGAAAAGGTAAATCAAGATTTTGAATGGGATTACAATTCAGCACGTCTCTGGACAGATCAGGAGAGGAAATAATTGGAAAACAAAAATCAGGATGATATTTTTGAATCTGAGGATGGAAAGGTCAGTCGTAGAGAGAGATAGAGAATGGAAATGATTAGTCCATATGTTCAATCAAAATGTCTTGGTATACTGTATGAAAATTACAGAATTGTTACAGCAAATGGAGGGCATTCAACCCATTGTGTATATATTAGCCCTCCACAAGACCAATTTACGTAGTGTCACTTCCCTGCCCCTCTCCCCACCCCCACCCTCCCTTTACAGATAATAATACCATTCCCTTTTTATTTTCTTGGTTAAATATCTGCCTCCACTTGATCAAAGGCAATACATTCCAGATTGTAATCACTGATTGGATAAAAAAGTGTCTCATATCCCCATTTTAAATCTGTTTAAATCTAGTTTAAATCTTGATCCCCTTGTTCTCAACTTTTCGTTGAAAGGGAATAGATTTCCCCTAGCTACCCTGTCTAGACATCTCATGAATTTGAATACTCCTATCAAACCTTCACTCAACTTCCTCTTCTCAAAGAAAAACAGTCCCAACTTCATGGATCTACTTATTAAACTGAAGTTATTCATCCCCAGGACCAATCTTATGAATCATTTCTGCACTCCCAAATGGCTTCACATCTAGAATTGGACTCATTCTTTCAGCCATACCTCTGCCACAAGCCTGTTATATGTTGCTTTAGCAAATGCCTTCTGATAGTCCATGTATGCCACATCAACAGTGTTAGTTTATCAAGAAAAAATCAGCAAATTAGCTACCATATAATTTGCCCTTAACAATTCCTTGCTGGCTTTCCTTAATTCACCCATAATAGCCCAAGTGACTATTAATTTTGTCCTGAATTATGGTTTCTTGAAAGAGATTTCAGTCTTGATCCAGTTGGAGGATTTGCATTTAAGTGAGTTAGCAGCGAATACATGCATAAACTCAAACTAATCAAAGGACTTCCACTGTTAGCTCTTATTATATAAAAATCCTTTTATAAATGAGTCAAAGTAAAAAAAAAATTGGATTCTTTACATTATAACATGGTTAGATAACATTGATGGTGATAAATGCCATAAGTATCTAGGACCTATGAAGTTCAGGCTAATTTTCACTAAGTACTTTAATTTTAGTGCTTTCATGAAAGTCCAGTGACTCAGTGGGAACACCCCTGCATCTGAGCCAGAAGTGCCAGCTTAAGATCTCATTCCCTGAGATTAATTGTCCTTTGAATGTGTGCTCATTAATGCATCTTAACAAATCAATAAACAGCCTGCTAAACCTTCCCACTGTTCCCCAAAGAGGAAAAAAGTGTAGGTGAAAACGCCAAATAAAGAAAAGCTTTCATAATAGTAAGTTAGTTTTCCTACTGGAAAACAAATGAAATATATTCACCTGGTTGTACACACATCTTTGTCCAAATAGATTCAACAGATTCAGAAAACATATTTTGTACAGTTTGCTCTGCTTTCAAGTACTGAAGTTTTAATTTTGCACCCACATTGAAAGTTTCAAAATAATAAAAAGGCATCATAATGAAACGCTAGCGTGGGCCAATTCAATTAGTTCTCTCCTATTTCTTGCAATCTAATCATTCAGTTCTCATTTATTAAGCCATTCTGCATCTCCCTGATTCTTTCCTTTGTAAATCATTTGCCCGCACTGCTTTCACCTCTTATAATATTGCAAGGTAATTGTCATTTGACGCTCCTGGTCTCATTCCCTAAGTTTATTACTTTCCCTCAGTAGGATTTGTCTTCCATTTCTTCACTGATTTGCTCTTTTGTCTGCTTGCATGTTTTAATTCTTTTCTTTCTCTAATTATGGCTGTTT